CGGGGGCTGGGCTGAGGTTGGCGGCAGCTAGCTAGCTGGGGAGGAGCCTCCGGTGAGGTGCAGGTGCAGGCCGTGCGGGGGGGAGAGTAGAGGGGAGGGGCGAGGTGAGCTGGGGGTGGGGTGGCTACTGGCTGCCGTTCGCGTGAGGAGAGATTCCCGGGCGCGGCGCGGCAGACCGGAGTAAACAATTGCCAGGAAATCGGTGCCCGCCTGGCTGCAGTCCCCGGGAGCGACGGGTTCCGGATCCCGTGTGGCGCCACGCTCCGCTGCCGAGGACGCGGCACCATTACTAGGCCGCGTTATGCAACAGTTTTTTTTAAGAAAGGAAGTTAATCAAGACATGATCTTTGGGACAGTTGTACTCTTTTTATTACTCCGTTAAAAACTCTTGCTCATTTTATTAATAGATTGGGTGGGGATTAGAAGGAAATTGATTGACATGAACAGGTTCTTCATCATAATTTCTGACCATGATGGCATTTTTGGCTTGCATTTCGTGAATTCCTGCTAACCAAACTAAGGAAGAAACGACTCTCTCAAATTCCCATGTGTAATACCTATTCGACGCTGAACATGGGACTGAGACTATTCGTGTCTAATCCTTCCACGGCTCCCCCTCCCCTCTAAATTATGATTTCCATCCCAATAATTAACCACTTGGCGTGAAATGTGTTTTTTTTATTTGCCTAATATCACACGTTTCAATGACTCGGCCATGATGTTTCTTCTTCTCTAGGTGAGCTTGACGGAAAGCTCGTATGTCTCTCGCTTACGTTCGACAAATGAATATGTGAGAAGTCATAGGTGGCATGGGTCGAGCTTCGGCCCAACTCAAGTTGAGATCTCTACTGACTAGACATAAAAAGGAGCTAAGCCTACTCTTCACTCAATGGCATGTGGGATCTAGGTGTCCGTATTCATATCAATTGATTAATCAAAGATATCACATGCCTTTTATTACTTGTTATCCCTATATAGTTATATCATTTAGAAAACTCTTGACTTGCAATTTATGTCACGGGATACATGGGATTGTGTCTTGATAAAAGGGAATGGGAAATCACATATATATAACTAGGATTACAATCAACTACCGTGAGCTATGGAATAAAAAGTTCGCAGGGGTTGCAACCAACATGTCACACCACACCAGGAGCCCTACCATGGCTAGCTAACATGTGTGCGGCCTAGTTTTGATTACGGGCAAACTTCAAAGGTACCATCTCAAGAAGTCCCAAAAGCCTTCTTCCATCCTTTGGAAAGCATAGACATTGTCATCTCCAATTTGAACAATCGCACGAGTATTGCCATTTGGCAGGTCATGGAAGGTGCTCTCATCTTCAATACACATTGTCAGGGCATGGAAGTAGCCAAAACCTCTGCTGCTCCATGCATGGAACCATTTGACATAAGTGCACTTAAACATTTAGCTATTGATACTTCTACATGCTTGAGTGATTATACTGGATGATGATACTTGTGGATTTGCATGAAATGTTATAATATTGCAAATTCATACAAACGTCATACTCTAAACATTTCCTACTATAACAAAATGTATGTGCACACACATCACCATTCACTTTTTCATGGATATGTAAGGTACGGGATGGGAATTACTCGCGCTAGCTTGATCTTACTCACGAATTCGAGTCCAGTAGCTCGATTACAAGGGGAATTGTGATTACAGAAATGGGGAAATAGCTGAGGGAAGAACTAGGGTTAGTCGTTGCCGTTGTTTCCTTGATCCACCGGATGCCTATCCAGAGTGGAGTTGCCTTAAGTAGTGGTAGCTGTACCTGGGCTTCACTTAGTCCACTCAGGCCCACTGACGCGGGAGTTGGGCCTTCGAGCCTGTGGTGGAGGTTGGGCAGCAGCGGCGCCACGCGAGCTGCTGCCATGTAGGCCTGGTCCGTTAGTGACGCTGGGCGTGAAAGGGGCGCTGACATCCCCTCCTCCTTGGGATGAGGCTTGCCCCCAAGCCTCTACACCAGGGAAGCGCGCCTGTAGTGCCACCTTGTCCTCCCAAGTGTTCTCCAGTGCTGTTGGATCCGACCAGCGAATTAGTACCTGCTCCATGAGAGCCCCGTTCTTGCGGCGCCAGCGGTGTTGCAGGACTGCGACTGGCGCAACTGGAATGTCAGTAGGATGGGGAAGAACATCGGAGGTCGGCGTACCCGGGCGAAGGCAGTGGCGGAGTTGGGAGACGTGGAACACAGGATGCACTTGAGAGTGCGATGGCAGCTCCAACTTGTAGGCAACATCATTGATCTTGGCGATGATTGGAAATGGCACGTAGTACTTGAAGAAGAGTTTGTGATTTGCTCTTCTTGCCACCGATGTTTGTATATACGGATGCAGATTGAGGTATACAACCTCGCCCACCTCGAAGACGCGCGGTGATCAGCGTTTGTCAGCATGAGTCTTCATGTGTTGTTGCGCTCGATGCAAATGTTGCTGTAGCAAGTCCTGGATGACTGCTCTTTCTTCCAACCACGCGTGCAGGGATGGAACAGTACAACCTGCAGTGGGTGCCAGCCCCCATTGCCTTGGTTCATACCCGAACATTGCCTTAAATGGAGACATGCCGATGTTGGAGTGGTACGAGGAGTTGTACCAGAATTACGCCAACGGAATCCAGTGACTCCAGCGCCCTGGGCAAGCATGAACGAAGCAACGCAAGTAAGTCTCGACGCAGTGGTTCACCCTCTCCGTCTGGCCATCTGTTTGGGGGTGATTCGCTGAGCTCATTCTCAAATCAGTGTCGGCGTACTTGAAAAGCTCACGCCAGAAATGGCTGGTGAAGACCGGGTCCCGATCAGACACAATTGAACCGGGAAAGCCATGGATGATGTATATGCTAGACATGTACAGTAGTGCCACCTTTGAAGTTGTATAAGGATGCGTCAGTGGCAAGAGGTGAGCAAACTTGGTCCTTTTGTCGACGACCACCCAGAGGCAATTGAAATTTCCCGATTGCGGTAAGCCGTCGATGAAATCCATCGTGATCATCTTCCATGGCTGTTGTGGAATTGGTAATGGTTCGAGCAGTCCTGGAGATGCTGACCTGTCCGGCTTGGCTTGTTGGCAAACTTGGCAGCACCAAACGTATTGCAAGGCGTGCACGTTCATCTTGGGCCAAGCAAACAAACGACGAACGCGATGAAAAGTGGTTGGGAATCCACTGTGGCCCCCCATGGGGCTGTCATGAAAGGTCGAGATGATGCGTTGTTGCAGGGCCGTCGAACCCCCGAGCAGATCCGGTCTCGAAAGTACAGTATGCCCTTCTGCAGGGTGAAGCGTTTCTTAGGATCCTCTCGCAGAGCTAGCTATTGAAGGAGCTTTTGTGCTTGGGGATTGCAGTTATAGCTGGCCAGTACATCATCCAACCAGCTGGGTTGGCATGAGGTGATGTCAAACAGCAGTTCTGGGGACTGTGACCACGAGAGTGCGTCAGCCGCTATATTGTCTGGCCTCTTCTTGTATCGAATGATATACCGCAGACCCAACAACTTTGTAAAGGCTCGCTGCTGCCAGGGCGTTGTCAAACGTTGCTCTTCCAGATGAATAAGACTTTTTTGATTTGTGAAGATGACAAACTCACTATGTTGCAGGTAGGGTCGCCACTGGTCGACGCCGACCACAATAGCCAGGTACTCCTTTTCATATGTCGACAGGCCCTGGTAACGCGGACTCAAGCCTTTGCTCATGAATGGAATTGGATGCCCCTCATGCTGCAACACTGCCCCAATACCCTTGTCGCATGTGTCGGTCTCAACCGTGAAGTGTTTACTGAAATCTGGCATTGCCAACACCGGTGCTGACACCAATTGTTGTTTAAGTAGTTTGAAGGCTTGGTCGGTGTTCTCTGTCCAGACAAAAGGTATGCCCTTCTTCAAGAGATTGAACAAGGGGCGAGCTATGATGCCAAACCCACGGACAAACCTGCGGTAATAACCCGCCAGCCCCAAGAAACGATGCACTTCCTTCGCGTCCGTAGGTGTTGGCCATTCTTCAACTGCTCGGATTTTTCCTGGGTCTATGGCCACTCCTTGGCTGTTGATAAGGTGCCCCAAATAAGATAGTTGCCGCTGTCCAAACT